ATGAGTTATGTCGAGCTCAACAAGTACGTCGACGAGCTCGCGAGCGGCTTCATCGACCTGCAGCTCAAGCACGGCGACACGATCGCGCTCTGGCTGCCCAACAACCTCGAGCACGTGCTCGCGCAGTTTGCGGCGGCCAAGGTCGGCTTGACGGTCGCGTCGATCGACCGTTCGATTGCGACCGCCGACGAGCTCGCGTATGTGCTCAAGGACTCGAAGGCGGCCGCGCTCATGTATGAGAACAAGATTGAGCGCCGCGACCACGCGTCGGTCGCGCTCAAGGTCTACGAGCAGCAGGACCGCAAGAGCCCGCTGCACACGCTCATCACGACCTCGATCGACCCGACCGACGGTGTCTTGCAGTTCCAGCACATCCTTGTCAACGCGCTTGAGCGCCACGTCGTTGCGGGCCGCCGCAGCCAGGTCGACGCATCGACGGCCGCCGTCATCCCGTACTCGAGTACGCGTTCATGGTGACGCTTCCAGCGGCTCACACGACTTGCGTAGGCAACAACGGCCAGCAGCCGACGCGTGGCACGCTCCTCACGCACGGCGATATCCTCAAGAAGGCCCAAGAGTTGGCGTCTTCGTACGTGCCTCCTTGACCGAATGCATTTGCGTTGACATGGACGCTCCCATGTAGGCTCAAGTTGACGTCGAACGACAAGGTCGCCATGTCCGAGGTTCCGGCCGGCTTCCTCGTGGCGTCGGTCGCGGCTGCCTTGAAGAACGCGCAGGTCATTGTCGCGTCGGTCGACCGCATGGAACATGCGCTCAAGGTCGAGAAGGCCAACGTCATTGGCAACACGGACGGCCACTTTACCCGTGCGTAAACTGCATGTAGATACTATGCTTGCGATCAATGAAAGCCGTCGTCTCACCATCGCGTGCGTCGACCTCGTGCAGACGACGAGCAGAGGCAGAGACGGACGTATCTCCCACTGCGAGGCGTTCTTGTGGCGAGCTCGCAGTGTCGTAGCGACGTGCTTGCTTGGCTCCAGACTGCGCAGGTGGCTGGACACGCCGCCATCGAGGCAGGGCCGCCTCGTCATGCGCACCTTCGCCTGTTCCTTTTGGAGAAGGGCGCGTCAATAATGCGAGCTACCGATGAGGGTAATCCCGGTAGCTGTGGAGAATACGACGAGCATCCTCGGGAGGGTCAAAGCACCTGTCCGGTGCTGTCGAAGCGTAGGAAAGACGGGCGCGGACGCCAGGCCATGCCCAACGATTCTGGCACCAGCGCCGATGTATCAAGTCCATGCTCGACAAGACCGACTCGTCGACCGAGAGGCAGCCAAGTTTGCACATACTTGGAGCGACCAAAGCGGTGGAACATGACGAGCCAGCGGCCAGTTCTCCGGGCGACTGGCGGCGTCGATGCACTATATTTATGTAGTCGGTGCGAGCTAAACGCAGCCTCATCACACCTCCTCCGACGCACCGCCCTCGACACCGTCGACACCAAAAAAGACATTCTTGTATCCAGGATTGCTAGATATATTGCTGCTTCATGCCAAGAGAAGGCCCGTGATCTGGGTCGTCGGGTCGCGGCAGAGGGGGCACGTTCGCTTCGTGCGCAGCCACTGGCCGACGCAGCGCTGGTGGTAGACGTGGCGGCAGGGTAGCTGGACCACGTGGCGGCCGTCGACGAGGTCGGTCGCGTGCATGTAGTCGAGGCAGATCGCACACGCCTCGTCGAGGATGGCACGTGTCGTCGGCCGGATCTCGAGCATCGGCACGTCGTAGATGCCCAAAAAGTCGGCGATCAAGGCCACGTAGCGCGCGGCGGGCAGCGCCAGCGACGGCGACGCCGCGAGGTTGACCCAGCACGCGTTGCGCAGGTGGAGCAGCTGCAGGAGGAAGTTCTGAAACAACATGGCGCGCTCGCCCATGACGCGGGCGCGCGTCGGCGTGAGGTGCTTGGACGGAAACGGCGTCGCCAGGAGCGCGTGGAGCAGCGGCGCTAGCGGCGAGGCCGGCGCGTGGGCGTGGATGACGCGGAAGGTCTCGCGCAGCTGCCAAAAGGCCGAGTAGCGCTTGCGGCACGACCAGCGCGCCTGCGTGAACGGGCACGTGATGACGACCGTGTACTGGGCGTAGACGTTGCCAGCCTTGGCGGCGACGTTGGCACGCACGTCGATGGCTTCGAGCGTCGAAGGCAGGCCGTCCGTCATCGTGCTCTGTGTGTTGGTGTTGCGTGAAGTGGTCGGTCCGATCGAGGGTGGGATGATGGGTGCGGCAAAGATACTGGGCCGAGCGTCAAGACTGCTGCTGCTGCGGAGTCGAAGCGGCGGTTGGCCAGGCCGTTGAAGCGACGCAGAAGGGACAGAACGTTTCGCGATCGGCTTTTTCAATATAGAAGTTGGCGTTGGCACCGGACGATGCGAATGATCTTGTTGGAGTCTGCGCCAGAGCTGCTTGCGATATTAGACTCGTCGACGAAAACATGATGGTGGGCGCGTCAGCAGGACCGGCAAACGGGCCGTCGTGATTGGCAGAGGCGCCGACGGTGGATGTGGATTTGGCTCTTGGTCCGAGGCCCGAATCATGTTGCTGCCTTGGGATGGCCTGGCACAAAAAATCTACTACTGCACAATGAAAATCAGATGCATCGGAAGGTCCAAGAAAAGCTTTCAAAGTAGGCGAGGATACGATTCGAACTGGCAACAATCGAGGCAGTGCGAAGGTTGGGTGAGGTGTTTTTTTCCATTTTTCAGTGGGAATTGACCCCAGGAGTACCCTGCTTGAACCGGAAGATATCTCTGTTTCGCTGCCCGAGGGCCAAGTGCTATGGAGACGTCGTGTCGTACATACAGACGGTCCACACACACCGAAAGGCTCCATGGTCGTGGTCGTGCACGCGTGAGCAATGCCCAGAATGCATCCCACGCCCACCGCGTGCAGCTTTTATGAGGACCTTTGCGGCGACCTTTGCGACGGCCACTCGTACTTTGAGGCTCGTCCACACATCCTGTCACGCCGAGGATTGCGAGGACGCTATCTATGCACGCGGCCCATCTGATGTGGTCAAGTAACTCGAAGCCATTCGATGGGCGTGAAGGATGCGGCAGAGAGTTTACACAGAGTGCACGCATACCTCTCTTTTTTCGAGCGGCGGTGATTTTCTCCTGGACCATTTTGAGTCTCGTGCGCGACCAGCTCGCGAGTTGAAGTTGGGAGCGGTTCAATAAACGCTTCAGAGCGTGCCACGTCATTCACACGGTTCACGCGGAAATTGTCACAACGATTCATTGTCGAGAAGAACGTTTTGCATTGTTTTGGTGTTCGTCGAAATCATTGCTTGCATCAGAAAAATCTAATCATCAAATCTACATGGTAGTACCTCCTACGTACAATCCGCTCAACAAACGATCGCAACTCCAACGCGAACAGAACTCGTCGTGGATGTGGAGACGTCCAACTAAATAGTATGAGGGTGCCAATGATTCCACAGCGTACAGTGCCCTACTCTAGTACTCTAGTCTTGAACGCTAGTACTTGGCAACGAATTGCAAGAGGGCACGGTGTGCGCCTGACTCCAAGGTGCGTGGCAGCGCGCCAGCGTGCTGCACACTCGCATCCGGATTTCCGGATACCATGGAGCACCTCAGTGCGCATTCCAGCGGCCAATTACCAGTACGTCGCGATACGCCTTTTAAAAGCCGCTCTTGACTCACAGCTGACTGGGTTTGCGAGTCTAGTGACGACCGATACAGAGCGTACAAAGGAGGACGATCAAGCCGATCCCGCCGCCGTAGTCGTGCCACACAGCACTTTACGTGTCCGAGTACGCGGCCAACCTATCCACAAGGATGCTATTATACTGAGTACCTACCTTGTATTAGTACCGATGGGAAGACTTGGTTCCGATTGCTTTTCTCGCTGTTCTAAATATCTACTACCTCGTATACGCGTATAATCGCATCGTGGAAGAGTTCTTCACGTAGCCAGTTTGTTTTGACACGAATGTAGTATGTGCTATTTTGTGTTTTCATGCCTTTGTAGAGAGACAACGAGTCTCCTTCTACTCCACTCGCTCGCGCACCGGGCCGTGCCTGCACGCGGCGGTGCGGGGCTCATCGAGGCGTCGCTTTGTCGGCGCCAAGCTAGAACGCAGAGCATAAAAGTCGAGAGCGAGCGACGAGAAATGTCGGTGCTGAACGAACGTCATGTTCTTGTCCAATACGCCATATGAATATTGCACAATCTCTAGAGTTAGGTTGTAGGTCCTCACCGCACGACCTATTTGTGCGTCTTTCCCCCGGCCTCGGCGTCGTTCGTCCTCGTCACGGCTCTTTCTCTTAGTGTTCTCAAGGTCTAGGTTCTTGTAGAGAGACGGGTTGCAGTTTATCCTCGTAGCTACGCTTGCCGTGTGGAGCTCGGAGCCTCCGCAACCAATTTGTTCCTACTGAGATATACATGTTCATAAAAACACTCATAGTTTAAAAAAGCCAAAGCGTTTCAGCTACAAACACCGCGCCGCGTTGGTGGCACCGATACATGGACATTGCCGACATCCTCTCCAAGTACAAACGATCGACGGCAGCTTCCAGCGATGCACCAAGCTCGTCGCTGCCGCCGATTGAAAGTGGCGTTCTGCACCCGGTCATGCCGACGCCGCCCAAAAGCCACAAGCCCCGCACACCGTCCAAGCGCGCGAGTCTCATCCAGCAGCCCCTGTACTTTTTAAAGCCCCACGAGAAGGCGCGGCCCGACCACCGCAAGTACAGCCCTTCGAGTACGACACCATAGAGTCTCACAAGACGACGCGTAGTAGCTACCGGGACATGGGTCTTTTGACGGCCGCCGATTTTGCACGGGGCGACTGCGCAGCGCCAAACATCGAGTGCTGGCCCCTCGGCGCGCGCGTTCGGAAGGAAGAGGTACGTTAAATCACTTTCTTATTTCTCAGATGGGACCATGTTTCTAGGACGTGCTTGGCAGCAACAATCGCAAGGGCATGCGACCCGAGAGAACTCCTGCGAAACCTCTGCTTCTACAACAACTCGAAGCCTTCTTGGCTGCCGAGCTGAGTATTGTGGGCGCGACCGAGCACGGCGACCGCGAGGTTGACGACGAAGGCCGCGCACAGATGCACTTGGCGCGCTTGCAAGTGTTTCGAGAGTGCTTTCTCCTCTTGATTGAAGACTTTAAGACGTACCAGCCGCTTTTGCTACGCATCAAGGCCGAGTACGAAGCTCTTTTGGACATTTACACGCTCAAGGTAGACCGACTAAGGTTCGTGTGTTTCCATTGGATATATGAAAAGATTAGGTGAGCAAAATTCCGCAGTACGAAGCCACGATCCGCACGATGGAACAAGAAGCCCAGCATGTGATTAGCGAGCGCAACCTCATCAACAAGATGAAAGGTAGACACTTTTGTGCAAACAAGAAGATGGAAACTACACGGTATCGATCTATTAGTCAAGGCCCTCAAGAAGCAACTCAAGTCGACCCAAGCCATGCTGACCGTACACACTCGCGTCCATAGTTGCGCATTTGTAACCGGATGCTAGTCGTATGCGGCCGCCAATGCGAGCCTCGAAGATGGCCGCACCAAGCTTTTAAGCGATCTGCAGGAGCAGGTCAAGCGTGTCGCTGACGTCATGGCCACCAACCAGATGCTCTTGCACTCGATGAAGCGCCAGGATGAGCGCCAAAAACAGCACGACTCGCAGGTAGTCGACCTCGCGAACATGACAATAATGTCCACATTTCTCCAGTTGAGCGAACTCCACGGCGTGCTCCAAGGAGTGACGACCAAGTACACGCGCGCGCAAGAAGAAATCCACGAGCTCCGGAGCTCGATCTTGACGCTGGAAGAGCGTGCCGGTGGCATTGACGCCAATGCCGACAAGGCGACAATCAACCACTTGACGCGCGAGCTTCAAGAGGTTCTCCACGCCAAAATGACGTTGGAAAAACAGGTATTCGACTGCAAAATGGAGTAAAACGATAGCGGTTGGTAGGTGGCGCACCCCGTCCCACCTGCCGATTCGGACGTCCTGCACCGAATTCTCGCCGGCATGTCCGCGCAGGGGCTTTCCACTGCAGATATCTTTGCCCCGGGCGCCCCCACGACCGTCGATGCCTTCGTCGCCGGTACCTGGCCAATGTGGGGCTAGGGTTGACACGAGGGGTAGGGTTGTCCACCCACCTCGTGCGCACACCATCGGTGCCGCCAGCAGCAACAACCATCACATCGTCCGTGTTTGTGACGCAAACGCACAGTGACGAGCCCGACGAGCAATCACCGACCGTGACAGACAGCGGCGAGTTCTTCATCGGGCATGGCTTTGATGCGTCCGTGCCCGAGTACCTGCAATTCGACGGTC